TGAAACCAGGGTTGCCTGTTTTATTTAGAGGTAACCGGTCTCGACGCCTTGACTGTTTGTGTGATCCGAGTCTTAAAGAATGTTCACGTTTTGCTTTTAAGTGTACAGGTTCAGAGTGAGGCTCTCTGTCTGTGTAAATATGTGTTGGAAGCACAGATGTAAATGGCAGAGGACAGAGGACAATCACTAATTATTAATCACTAAAATTGATTCTACAACATTCCAGATGCCCTGCAATCAAAACAGGTCTCAAATAAGTGTTGATCTGTGCAACAACACTCGTGATTAAAAGCAGCCAATTGGAGGGAGAGATTCTTAAAAACAAAAAAAAACAAAAAAAAAAACATCAGTCTGAAGTGAAGACATGCCACACTACTGAGTCTCACATTGAAACAGGACACATGTTCTCTTGCAGGGAAGGACTGCTCGGTCAGCGCCTCAGTGACGGAGCAGTCAGTCCAACTTGTGTTTTTGATATCTGCATTTTTTTGACAGTAACAAACTGTACTTGCTCAGCTAATATGCCTTATTGTAATGTTAATTAGAACTGTAACTTGCGTACATGTACTGGGGCTATTCCTTACTCTAGCATAGAATGAACCAGTAAGGTTGTTTTTTTTTTATTGGATATATTCTTTGTGGACAGGATTGCTTATGTGGTTTACACAGAGTAGCTTTGGATGATATTGGTAGCAATTAGAGCTTTATACCGCAAAGGGCTTCTTCAGTACTGCTGACACTGTGTTCATTTTACATGACATTCCACTTAATACTAAAACAAACAGAAAAGAAGCAAAGTGCTGTGATGAACTGTGTAGATGGTCCTGTTGTAGACTTGGGAGAGTGAATTTGTACAGAAGTGATAATATTGTGAAATATTCAATTTGCACTGCACAGAGTAAAACCTGACCTTAACCCAGGGTGAGGATGAGATAAAACCACCTCACAATATTAACAACATACAGTAGTTTTTCCTCCAAAACAAAAAGAAATTCCCAATTATTTATTTTTGTATTGACATTTGGATTGCAGACAGTGTAGTAACTTAACATTTTTATGACTAACACCCCCCCCCCCCTTTGTTTTCCTTTTAATCCGTCTTTGTCCATCCTGTGCTGACTTTGTAAATTTGACCTCCTTATGGCAGAGGATGTACAGAAGAGACTGTTTGACTTTAACAATTGATTAAGTGATCTCTTACCGTCCTGTGGAAAGGAACTGAATGTCTACACTTAAGTGTGCTGCAATAAATGAGTTTGTAAACTGATTGAAAACAAAGTGTTTGGGTTTTTTTGTCTCCCCGTTGATGAGAATTTGTGTTGCATGTGAGAAGCTGCGGTGATTCATATTGTCTTCTTTTTGGTCTCGAGTTCTCTCATTATTTTCTCCATCTTCTCCCAACTCTCCCTTTCCTTTATGAAATATTCCTCCATCTCCTTCCTCATGTCCTCCATCACTGGTCTAGTGTCATACCTCCTCTTCACCCTGGATTTCTTTTAAAATCACTGCAGGCCTGATAGTTAGGGATCACTAGCTAGAACTTCAAAAATGACAATTTCCAGAATATTGTGGCACATTTAGAAGCCTGCAGCTCCTTTTACCTCCTCATATTTTCCACTTTTGATGGTGTTTGAGTCCAGCTTTTGTCCCCTTTAACTAAGGGTAAGGGAGAAGGAAAGATTGAATCTTTTGAAAGATAAGCTTATTAAGTATATAGAATTGAAAATAAATCAATACATAATACAGACAAAGAAAATTGTATTTATATTAAAATACATCTCTGACCAGGAAATTTGTTCTAAATTCATCCAAATCACTCGTTTT